TTTCAACAGTTCCTGAGTCCGATTTTGTGTTAGAAACGAAAATGGATGGAGAACAAAGTGTCGTAGATATAATGTGCGCGGTGCAAAATGTATTTCCCCAACCCCAACTTTCTGTAATGTAGGTGAACTCTGAATTCTTACTTCATTTTAGTTATTCAATTCTTCTTTTACTGTCCTGGTTCTTCGTAGGTTTGATACAAAGATAATAGACTCAGTTCTGACACACACTGATCAGAACTCAAGCGGTCTGTATAGTACGACAGTCAGAACGAGAATTCCGCGAGATAAGTTGGAATCGCCTACACCGATCTCGTGTTCATTTTTCCTACTTGGTACCACTTATACTAAGAGGAGAGAAACAATTTTCTATGGTAAGTAGAGGTAAGATTTTTTTTATTACATTCAAGGATTTTTAAAAATACATATAGGAAAAAATTTGTTAATGTCCAACCATCTCGACACATACACTTTTATGTGCAATTTATGGAATTGGAATCTAAACACATATACATAAAAAAGTAAGCCACACAACATCCATGAATGGAGACCCAACCCAACAATAATTGTATTACATTGATTGCATATTTTATAAAATATATGTATATGTATGTATGTATGCATCTCACACTTGAGCTATAAACGCAGAGCTAGGATATTTATTTAAGATTAATAATTCAAACAATTATTTGGTTGGGTAATCATATATTAATAAGTAAAACTCCATATTAAAAAGTAACAAAAATATTCGGTTATAATCAACAACTTAATTTAAATATTTGTAGATTACTTATAATTAGTTCAATTGATTTAATGAAATTCATATTTAGGTATTTGCATGTTTACTTTTTACATAGTTTTTTTTTAAAGTTATTATAAGTGTGATGAAAAACATGAAATTATGTCCGTAGATAGAATCTTTAAATAATATATTTATATTTGTCAACTTCACAATTAATAGTCACCAAATTCAATCAAAATAGCTTTATCATTATATACTAGTTTTCAAATTACCACACGGAGATTTTGAAATGGCTTATTTTATTATTTAGACCCTTTCCTTTTTTATAGTTTATTTGACAAATACTGCAAAAAGTTGATCAAAATTAATTGCTTCAGTATTATTGGGTTAGATATTAGACCTTTATTAAATAAAATGTTCTGCTTCAAGACTGCGGAACTTTACTTACTTTTACTCATAACTCGTGAACAGGGTACATTAAGTTGACAACGTCGAAAACCTTACAAAACATATATAATACATACATACGTATTTAAATGATCAGTAAGGCGAACTGAATCGATTTAGTCTGTCKGTCTGTAAAGATGCGCACTAGCCCCTCAGTTTCTAGATATATGTACATATATAATATATGAGAAATTTTGCAAACGTTTTTCTCTACTAAAGAAGCGTCTCATTTGTGGACTACATATATGCTTTGTATGCTGCTATGCAAACTGAAAGATCGGAATTGATTCTTTCACAAAGTTGGGCATTATTCGCAGAAATTGTTCAGATCGAGTCAATGTAGTTGCAATTGGCCGATGAAAATAAAGATCTTGTAGGAATCGAATGCATTACGTTTACGAAAAGGTTTAAAATAATGTAATTATTGCCATCAACGTTAGAACAATATGTAATTAATCTTGAAATTAAAATTAAAGATAGAACAAGATAGCTAAGTTCGGGTGTCACCGAACATTTTATACTCTCGCATCAAATACCGTATTTGTGTAAAGTTTTATTCCGCTATCATCATTGGTTCCTAATGGATATATTATACAGAGAAGGCATCAGATTTAATTCAAAATAGCGTTATGTTTACACCCATGTTCGGTACATGTCATCAGGGTGTTGAGAAAATATTATATACCGAATTTCATCGAAATCGGTCGAGTAGTTCATGAGATATGGTTTTTGGTCCATAAGTGGGCGACGCCACGCCCATTTTCAATTACAAAAAAAGCCTGGGTGCAGCTTCCTTATACCATTTCTGAAGTTTTTTGTTAGTCGATTAACGCACTTTTAGTGATTTTCAACATAACCTTTGTATGGGAGGTGGGCGTGGTTATTATCCGATTTCTTATCCGAAATGGATAAAAGAAACGACTCTATACAGTTTGGTTGACATAGCTATAGTAGTTTTCGAGATATGTACAAAAAAGTTAGTAGGGGGCGGGGCCACGCCCAATTTTCCAAAAAAATTACGTCCAAATATGC